TGCACCATGTCACCACCTCGCAGGCGCCCACGCGACCCCAGCGGCTCGTGAGCTCCCTCCTGCAGGGCCAGCGAGTCGACGTGCTCGGTACGCCACCACGCATGGCCTCACACTGTGCCGTTGCCTCCTCCTTGCTCACCCACAGACGCGGGTGCGCGCAGGCAACTTGTTCCTGGAGCGACACGTCCGCAGCAAGCTCGTCGGCGGACGCGAGAAGGACACTCTGCAGTGCTGTCGGATCATCCCCGTTAGGGCCTCCTACGCCATATCCATGGCGCGTCTGCAGCCCAGGGAGGTCAAGCTGGACACCATCGCAGATGTGCGTCAATCACATTTCTTCTTCTTCTTCTTCTTCTTCTTCAGTTTCCTGCCCTTACGATGTCTCTCTTCACAGGTCTGGAAGGCCATTCCGTTCGAGTTCACGGTGCAAAACTTGTCCAACGCGCCCCTCGTGTGCAAGCTGAGCAAGCTGCCGCTGGAGGTCACGATCGACAGTCCCGCGCTCCAGAAGGACGACAAGGAGAAGGAGAGCAACAAGAAGTACATCCTCCTCTTCCTCGCCATCGGCCTCCGTGTGGACTCATTCGGTTGATTATTACTAATCACCGCACCTCTCTCTTTCACCACAGAACCGACGAAGTGACCAATCCGCAGCTGAACTCACTCATCTGCGTGCCACCGTCTGGTTCGGTGTTGGTCAATGCAGCCCTCCACCCGTCTGAGGTACCCCATGAGTGCTTTCTTAGGTTTCCCAACAACGAACTCCTGTGGTCGCTCATTCGACTCTTCACATTCCTCCAGATCAACTACGCGCTTCAGGATAACTACACGAACACCATCAGCCTGGTGAATGTACATAACTCGACTGCACCGCCCATGCTGGTGCCAATTCACGCAGCCGTCAGCCTGTACCACCTCAAATATCTGGTACGCAGCCCGCCTCCTTTCACTTACGGTGATGGGTGCTGATGATGATGATGATGATGATGATGATGACGGTGATGATATGCAGGGTCTGTCGGGAGATGGCGACTTGGTGCTGCCCACGCTGATGCATCCCGCGCCGCCGAACGCGCCGCCCGTGGACGAATGGTTCACGGTGCAAAACACCTCGGGTCGAGCGCTGGACATCGAGATCCAGGGCCAGCTCAACATGGCCATGGCCGACCTCATCGCCCTGCTCGTTCTCTCCCGCGAGTCGAACCTGCCCCTGAAGAAGTTCACGCTCGCCGCGGGCGATAGCCTCGAGATCAAGGTCCGAGTCGAGGCCCGCAAGGACGCGCGCATCCCGTCCAACTTCGGCAAGAAGTACAAGGACTTCCCGCTCGGCAAGCTCCACCTACGGTCCGAGCACGTCGCCGAGACCATCCTCGTTCACGGATCCCTCGAACCCGTACGCATATCCCGGCCTTTTGCTTTTGAGCTTCTTCTTCGTCGTCGCCGTCGCCGTCTCGTCGTCGGCTCACCTGGTTTTGTGGTTGTCGCGCGCGTGCAGGGACCCACCTTCTCGTTGTCCACCACCCGGCTCCACTTCCGGTCCGATGCTGGCGCGACCACCAGCGACAGCGCCACCGAGACCCAGGTATGCCCACTCTCTCGAGCTCCACCACACTGCGCTAGGATGTCGAGGCCTAGGCTCGGTCTCCTTCTCATCGTCGTTTTGGTTTGACTTCTTCTAGGCACAGCGGAGCCATGTGGTGCGGGTCAAGAACCTGCTGTCGCAGTTCCCCGTTCAGGTGCAGCTTTCCGAGCAGCCGGCGGCCCAGCGCGCCAGCCCGCGAAGCGACTCCCCTCTCCAGGAGCCGTCGCCCACCAAGACGGCCTTGCGCGCCAAGGAGATCGCCGATGCATCGGCTGCCAGCTCCGCTGCCGATCAGCCGGCGGAGTCACAGCAGAACAACATCCTGGACATCCAACCCGACAAGGCCACCATCCCTCCCGGAGAATCCATTGATGTACGCACCTCTACTCTCGACACACACGCCACCACTGAGTCAGTGACTCCCGCTCACCACTGGCGTCACTGTGATGTTGATGCGCCCGCACAGGTTGTTGTTACGCTGCGCGATCGAGCCAGGACCTCCTCGTCCGGCACCTCGTCGGAGGACCGGACGTTGGTGGTCTGCGACACTCGATCGCCCTCCATGCCACAGAACATCGCCGTCACCCACTCCCGCCTCGAAGGTAACCATCATTCGTCGGTTCTTGCTGCACGTGCAAAATGAGAGTCGAGGTTCTCATCGCCATGGCCGCTCATCATCACACACACACAGTCCACAAGACTGTAAGTGGTCGACAGGGAGTCGAGCTGGACACTCGCTCGCTCGCGCTCAACAAGAAGAAGGAAGAGTCGGCGGCCACCACCACCACTCTGTCCTCCAAAGCGCCCCGACTTGCGCTCCGGGTACGCCGCCGCCGCCGCCACTTTGGCCCCCTGTGGCGCTGGGACCAGTCTCACACTCGTGCGCTGTCGCCACCCGCTCTTTCGCTCCAGGGCTGTACGCCAATCACGTCGGGCAACGAGGGCCAGCGGGACGAGGAGCTGTCCTACCGGTACGAGATCAACCTGGGCCAGCACGTCCACGGCTCCGGGCCCGTGAACTGGACCCTCACGCTCGAGAGCCTCCACTCCAACGAGGCCACCACCTCGTCGCTCGAGTACAAGATCTACTCGCTCAAGGACAACGACAAGACCTGGATGGTACGCACCTACCTTGGCCACCCGCCCTTTGTAGACCTAATCGGACCGCACACGCACCACCGCACACGCGCAACTCTGCGCAGACCGTCGGGCGGAACCGAGGCATTCTGTCCCGCGCCGGCGAGTACCAGCAGGTGCCGCTGACGTTCGCCACGGACAAGGTCGATTTCTACTCGACGTACCTCATGATCCAGAACCTCGACAACTCGCAAGACTTCAAGACCATCCGCATCAACCACGAGGTACGACACACACGACACACACCACACACACGACACACACGACACACACCACACACACCCATGCGTGACGCTAATCCAGCCCATTGGTTGGTCATGGGATCCCCGGCAATAGGTGGTGTCGCAGGAGAAGGTGCTGTTCGGCGTGCTCGTGGATGGGAAGCAGACGGAGAACCCGGTGATCGACCTGGGCGACGTCTACTACGATCAGGTCTACCGCGACCACTCGTTCATCATCCTCAACCAGTCCGACATGGCCCTCGACTTCCTGGTATCAACAACAACCGCCACCACTGAGTCAGTTCTAT